CAGTGATCGTTTTATGTGTATTGTCAATATGATGAAACAATGCGAATCTTATTGTTTCTCCCGTTGTTGTAAATATTTGGATGTGAAGTATGGTGCTCATGTTAATCTATGTTGTTTAAAATCATATACAAGACCATATCCAGAAATAATTTTCGGGGGGGGGGGGGGGGGGTCTAAAATATATTTAATGTAATTTTACTGAATTTAGATTTTAAAATTTGGTTAAAAATAAGAACAAAAAAGTTTTTATCTTTTAAAAAATATATAATTAAATAAACAAAATAACATACACAAATTCAATTTATTTTAAACCAATAAAATGCTTCTATCATTTTGAAGAGCAAACTGGTTTAACACTTCTTCGGGATTAACCGCAACATCTCTATGGGTACTTAATAAAGCTAGGCTTGTTACTATTTCTTGTCCTGTGGAGTTTTGTTAAAATGTCTTGACGCGTTTTAATACCGAAGAAGTTCGTTCGGGAGTTGCTGTAGAAACTGGCAGTGTGGCTAGTATTTTTAATAAAAAAATAAATATTTAGAAAGAGTTCATTGTCATAATAATTGAATGATTCTACAGCTGCATTTGGATGATCTGTATTTTTAATTACAATCCATTTTCTTTTCCACTATTTTATTTCTGAAGGTAATTAATCAGCATTTATAAAATTTGAATATAAACTAAAATCTGATTCTAAAATTGAAGATTTTACATACATTTTTGGTACTAATAAATACAAAAATCATTAAATTATCTTGTGTTTGGAAAATCGTTCTTTAAGTTGACTAATAAAATCATCATACAGAAGAATTGCAATAGAAATATGAAAATAATCTTCAGGAATTTTTGTATATACTCGTATATATATTTTTTAAATGACTGAATAATCTTGGTATTTTTATTTTTTCTTCATCATTCACGGATATAAATAATTGTTCTGATTTAATTAATATTTCTTTGAAATTTTCATCAATGTTTCTTCGCATATCTTTCACTCAACTTAAAATAGTTTCAATATGTTCTACTGCTTCACTTAAATGGCATTTTACTGACTGCTATACCTTACATAATGGCAAAGTTACAGAGAAAAGTGATGTCGTAGTTATCATACTTAAAATAAATCCACTAGTTGTTATACACTTTTGTAACTGTAAAGCTTTAGACGATGTTTCAGTGTCTACATTTCATTGTACGAGTAGTTCTTCTAACGTTGCAACAATAGGTTTATATATTTCTGAAAAACTTAACATGTCATCGTGATTTTTAACCCACTTAATCTCGCACATGGAAGTTAATTTAGTCAATTTAATTTGAGGTAGAAATACTTTTATTTTACTTTTTAATAGTTCAGTTAATTTAGTCGATATTTTAATAACATTTTTCACAGATTTTATTATTCCTATTAAATTTCGAATATGGTGAATATTTGACAAATGAGCAAATGCTAATTTTAATGAATGTGCACTGCAGTGGACATAAAGTGCAGTGGGATTTTGTAAACTAATTGGTCTTGTATAATTTTTCCATATATATTTATAAAAATTATTTTGAATTATAGGGTTTATATACGTAGTATTTAACGCTTGGTTCTCAATATGATATGTTAGATTTTTATCTTCACACGAAACGCGCATTTTTAATAATGTTCGGAAATTACTATCATTATAAATAGGCAGTGGCGATTTCATGGGGGTCGATAGGTGGTCTGCCCCCCATCTTGAGCTATGTAAAAACTAAAAATATGAATGAGCAAACAATTTACTAAAAATGGTTTTGGCGATAATTTTATGTCAAAACTGTTTACTGTTTACCAAAATGTTTGCTCCTATAAGTTTGACTGTTAATTAAGTTCGGATAAGAAATAATCTTTGTTTTAATTTTTTTATTCATACCTATATTTTTATGTTATGCCATTGTGGTATAAAGTTTATAGAACTTAAAATTACTTCTCATGTATCAAGCAATAGGAAAAAATAAATGGGATATGTATGCAAATTGTAAGTATATATAAAATATTTTCGCCGCCCCCCTTGTGGCTTCTCAAAAATCACCACTGTAAATAGGTTTAGAGTTGTCTAAAGAGAGAGGTCTATAATCGATAATACCGCGTAAAGCTATTTCTTGACGCACACAATAAATACTAGTTTGAATAATAGGTAATCTTTTTCTATTTTGTTCAATTTGAATTGCACGCATGGAATGTAATGTTTGAATTATATTTTGATAGTTTTTAGAATAAACAGCAATAAAATTATTTGCGCGCATAGATAGCATTAAATTTGTGAAATTCAGTTTGACTATGTTCATTAAATTTCTCAATCGCTTTTTTTCAGTCATTAAAAGGTTTTATAACTTATGTTATAAGATTCTGGTGACTGCCTCTGCCACCAAATTCGCGACCAAATATCGCACAATATTTACAAACTGTACCTTGCTCACCAATTCTTCAATAAAAAACCCAAGGAAAACGTTTAATCCATCTTAATTGAAACTTTAATTTTTTTTTAAAATTTGTAGTAATTGGATAATTTATAATTTTATTTTATTATTATTTGTTATTTATAATTTTCATCAAGTGACTAATGATCAAGCAATAATTTAAATTTTTTTTCATCAGATACATTTTTATCCAAATAGTAGCCAATATCGTTGTCTTCGACTATTTGCTTCACGTCCGATTTCAATATATTATTTTCATTTGTTTGCAAATTTGTGGATGAATTACTAAATGATGACGAGTCTATTTGTGATAGGTGGATAGAAATATTATCGGTCTAAAATTAAGTATATGAATTTACCTTATATGAATTAACCCTTTCAGACCTGAATTTTTTAAATTTAAAAATTTTTTTTCACCATAATTTAATTATTTATTAATTTTGGCAAGTTACATAATTTTTGCATTTTTTTTCGCTAAGTTATAAGTGGGTACACTATAGTGTACCTTGGGTTTTCGCAAGTTGTTTGTATTCATCTATCAATAAATATTTTATTTTTTCAATAAATAATTAATAAAAATGAATTTTTTCACTGTTAAAACACAAATTTAATAAAACAAATCAAATAACATTTAACATTTTAACCGTTTCGGTTGATAAATTAATAATATATTATATACATAATATATAAAACAATTTAACGTACCTTTGAAAGTGTAGAAAGATAATTGAATAGTATATTTTTGTTCTCTCGATTACTCATTATGATGAATTTAAATTTTAATACATTTTGACGTATTTTTCACAGTACGGCAGACTATGGTATATTAATTATTATTAAAGTAATATTTTTAATGTAGGTACACAAAATTAATATTGTTGTTGTTTATTGTCACCGACCGCCGCGCGCGAAACGGCGTCGATAGCGGTCGTTTCCTTTATCTATTGATAATAATCTATTATTAGACACCGTTATAATATTAGTTAATTTAATTGTAGTTTAAGCTATTGGTAACTAAAAATATTTATGTTGGTATTAAAAATAGTTATTTTAAGCATTTGTAAAGTACTGACGACATTTGGGGGGGTCCATACCCCTTGGAACTCCCACAGATACGGCCTTGATCATATACATATAAGTATGGGGAATGTGTTATGTTTGTCTCATACGTCTGGCTCAAATAAGCGGTCGGTGCGGGCCACGAATACGGTTTAGTACAATCATTAAAGAAATAGTGCTGTTTTCCGTTTGTTGGAAGTACAATGTGCCGAGAGGAGTCTTAAGGGATTTGCGGGATAACTCGAATAAGTTTCCGTTTAATGCTGTCGGACCCAGGACTTCAGCGGTCAAATAACCGGAGGTGAGTGGGGCGATTGACAGTGCTGAGAAGGGCTTTTTAAGATAGCGTCCTCATTGAACAAGTATGGGACGTTCGGATGATTTAGGAGGATCGTGTATAAAGCCACTAGTAGTCAAAGTCGGCATGGTGTAGCTGTCGATTATCTATTATCGGTGATTTTCGTCGTTCTCATAATCGTCGAGTTGCTTACTTGTTGTTGTCTTCTTGTTCTTCAATCAATCCGTGTTAGTTTTTTTTGGGAAGGTGCTATTTTCCACTGTTATAGTTATTTTATGTATGTATATATTTTATGTATTTTATTATAGGTAAAATTGTTCCATTGCAATAATAAAAATGTCGTACGCTAACTTCATGCATGATTAAACTATAGTTTAATTTTTGAAGCTCGATAAGTACCATAGTACATATAAGGCTTCATCAATTGTATGCATAAATAATTTATGGCGATTGTCAATTTGATTACGAAACATAAATGTCCGTTTTTGTTAAGATAAATATTTATATGCACTAGATAGAGCACGGATAATTTAGTGTAGTTAAGTAAGTTTACATATTACAATGGAGATGATATATTAACCGATGAAAAACATAGGGCAAAATTGGAAAATTGGAAATTTTTGGGTACGAAAAAAATAATCAATATTTCAATATTTATAATCGATATTGACATTCAACTATATTGCTTTTGGTGAGAGCACCACCTTAGATTTCAAAGCAATCGGAAAACAGATGACGAATCTTCAAAAACTTTTAATCAAATCACATACTAACAAGGGGAATGGAAATATATTATTGTTTTGTTCAGTTGATTTAACTTGTACATTTAAACCCTTTTTCTTCAAATTCAGATCTAAGTACGCCACTGTTTTAATACACCTAATCGGTATCGTACGATGGTTATTAGCGCTCGTGTATATTTATATTGAATACGAGTTATTAATATTATCTATAACAATAATAGCACCTATATATTATATACCTTGAATGGGTTTGTGTGAGGCTCTGAACCCATTCTTAGTAGTACCTATTATTTTTCAACATGCAAAACAATATTTCGTTTAAAAGTATGGCTATACATTTTTAGTTATATTAAAATATTGAACAAAAAATTAACAATATAATACAATATAAATAGTTAGTCATATTAAATTATAATAGATAATAATGTTTTCTCCGGTAAAATATAATTTCAATAGTGATTTTAATTTGTATTGTAAATAAAACGTTATATTATAATATTTTTTGAATATGGGGATGTAAAAAAAATCGTATTTTATGGAGAATTGCTACTCTCCACTTTCCACAAAATCGGCCCTGTATATTATAATAGATACTCGGAAGTACACGGATCTTAGAATTTCTAGACGTGGAGCTCGTCATTTGGCCAACGGTGGAGCTTAAATATACGACGAGAGCACGTCAGGTTTTCGTTGTACACGGATTTTTTCCCGAGAAATCCAATTTAAAAATAATGTAACATAATATTACTGAACGAAACCCTCAACAATTTGCGTCGCACGGGGACAGATGGATTGCTGCGCGCGTTAAGAGGACGCCACACCCACACGTGTTTCTCCGTCTAATGAACGTACAACATAGCAAATTTACGTTCCGTAGTTCAAATGTAGTGACGATTAACATTAGAAACATTCTTTGAAGATTAAAATAAACCGAACGATAATCAAACTTTAAGGGAAGAACATTACCCGAATTTTATCGATCGATTTTTTCTGATATTTTAATTTTAAAACGAGTATGAGCGTGTAAAATTTTACAATTAAAAAAAAAAAAAAAATCATAACTCGTAAACCCTAAACATCGGAAAAAAACTGACCAACAAAACACGGATAATTTTCTTCCCATATCGTTAGATTATTATAGGTCAGTTTTTCCCATTATTAAAGCTAACGGCAACGCATTCGAACTACTGAACTCAACTTTGCTACGTGTGGGCGTGGCTATCGCTTAATAGATTTTGGACGATTTACGTATACCATTGCGCGTACAGTTACGCACTTCAGCTACTTACCGTGAGTCTCGTAACGTAAGTACGCGCACGCGGTAAAACGATCACGCCCGAAGCGGCGGGTCCTACGATTTCGCGAAACGTTCGGTTTCGCGGACTCCAATTCCATCTAGGTGTGCGCACTGCTTGGCGTTCCGAGTGAACAACGGGGGAACCGCGTCGAGCGAGTCGGCTGCAAGGGCAGGGGAGAGTAGGTGATGATTGTGAGTGTTGGGGTGCTTTGGACGTAAACGAAAATCACATTCTCTCATGGATAATCACTCGAGTGCCGATCAACGCGCGCGCATACGATCCGAACCAGAGTGCGTGAGAGACGATCTCGTGTCGATCATCCTTCCGTCGTAACGATTCACGTCGAGCGCTCCGCTGTACGACAATACACGGGCGCGCGTGTCGCGACGGTGGTCCGAGGGCACGCGGTCCCTACAGAGTGTCCTCGTGCCAGTTGCGACAGCTCCGGCCGTACGCCGCGGGCCGCCCGTTGAACGACTTGAGCCGCGATTTGACCGACACGAACGACGACGACGTGTTGATCCGGTGCAGGCCCTCCGCCTGGCTGGGATCGTTCTGGCTGTAGTGCCGGAACTGGTGCTGCTGGGCTCGCAGGTAACCGTCCATGCACCGACCGCAACCGGGCACGTTGCGCAGCACCGCGGCGAAACCGGCCCGGTACCGCGTGTTCATCCAGCAGTAGATGAGCGGGTTGTAGCACGTGTGCGACATGGCCAGCCAGTGGAACACGAACCACACGTACGGCAGGCTGCTCCAGGAGCTCAGCGACGGCTCGTGGTCCCACAGGATCTGCGGCGTGCACACGTTTATATTAAACATTATTATTTAAATTATAATGAAATTATTAGATCATTTATTTTTTTATATTTCAATATTATTACTTATACGCACACGCACACATTTTTACTGAATACGATGCGAGCCCGTTGCCGTACGCGTGACAGTATTCGTGCGGATGGATTGTCACTGTTTGTAAGTGTGTTCCGATTCGGAAAACGTATTCGCTAAGCGAAGTTAAGTTAAATTAAATCGTAGGTGTATTACGATTTTACTCGTTACGTATTATATATATATATATATTTAAATTATATTTAAATCGATATTGTTTATCGATTATTATTATTATTAACGAGTGTCTGTGTTTATTGTACGTAATAAAACCATTCGTGACATTCACGGTTCAAAACCGTGCAAAAGATTAGTCGAAATTAATGTATTTTTAATAAAAATCTGACAAAAACGATTAGAAACGTGTTCGCTGTAAAATAGTTTACGATCTGTTTAAAGAAGTAAAATCAGTTCACCATGATAATGTAAACATAGAATTGGATAAAATTATTACATGGTAAAACCTATCGAAGTAAATCAGATCACGAGAGTAGTCGCTAAACATAAAAATGTGAAATCGACGAAAAGCCAATAGGTATAACGTATATTTTTATAAAAACCATTAAATTCTTTGTAAAAAATAATGTTCGTGAAAAGTTATCCGAAAAACAAAAATGTATGTTTATAGCCGATATAGAAAAAAATGTTATGTACCATAATAAATGGGTAGTGAAATGTATTTGTTAGCACTGTATTTTCATTGGGTTTAAAGAAAATAAAATGTAAAAATCATCAACATCCTAACTTATGTATTCATTCCATATACGAGTAGATACAGCGCGTCGTGTAATGAATTGTCATGAACATAATGTTTCATTATAAGATCAATATTCATTTTTTATATGCTATTTAATATTTAAAAAAATATTTATTTCAGTAATATGTATTAATTTTACTTGAATAAAATACCCGTAATAAACATCTCTTATATGTAAATTATTTCTTAGATACCACGGGAAAAGTTTTGATAACATTTTTTTATTATTTTATTACAATATATCAAAAGTATATATTACTATAGTTAAAGTGTGATCATATTTAGGTACTCCTAAAGTTAATATTTCTAATCAAAACTAAAATGTTTCAATATTGTATCTCGAGTGACGCATTTTTTTTGTTTAGGTTGATTTATTGATCTTAGGCGGCGTTCAGATTTTTCCGTTTGGGCAGTGAACATTTTTGAGCGTTACCTTTTTCGCGTAACGCTCGATATGTAATATATTATTAAAAGGAGAAGCGGTTTTTATGAAAGTTATATACAGGGGCACAATTTTAACGAAAAAACTGGGGGTGCTTAAGCTCCTCTTTCTTTTTTTATGATGTTATCTTAAGGTTATGGATACATAATTATGTAACTATTAAAATCAAAATTAACGTGAAACTACTTGGGGGGTACTAAGCACATCCAAGCTGCCCTTCCCCAAATTGTGCCTATGGTTATATCTGAAGTTCTAATTGACCGATTTTCATGTTTTTTTTTTTCTTAATGCCAGTACTTTGTGTGCAGATGAGCCATCTATTGAGAAAAGTTCAAAAATTGAATTAATTAAATAGTTATTAGAAATATTAAATTTTCCGTTTACATATACGATATCGGTTCGCTATCAAGATTGCGGCTCGAAACATCAACATCGAGGGGGAAGTTTAGACGGCCACATATTACCGTCTGGTAACCCGAATCTCACCCACCGTTAGATAACTGCCCATCGCATGACTCGGTAATATAAAGATAGAACGGTGGCATAGAATGCGTTCTCTCTTTGAACAAACATAATTCTTAAAAATGTTAAATCCTTTCCTACAAATAATATGAAAGCGCGTGTTTTAAAATAAGAATATTTACTTCAAATTCTACATAATAAATCTATATTTCTAAGCTAATATATATGTTTTTACATCTTCCGAGGGTTCCCTATACTTTCTGGTTATTTTTTTAAACTCGTAACGGATTATTTGATTTCATCGGATTTCAATTAACTAGTGATGATTTTGGTTAGAAATTTGTATTTTTAAAGTTTTAGGTTTACTGATTTTGACTAACCATTATACTATTGTTTAGGTAATAGTTTTAAAAAGCATTTAGTAAATTATTTCTGTAGAGGTTTTACCTATATATGTGGACGTATATGAGTAATATTTTAAAATACAAGTAAATAAAATTGTCATGTTTATAATATTGGGAAATAATTATAAGGTCTCGATGAAGTACATGTGCATCATAAAAGAAGAAAAAAAAATGTATAGTATAGAAAATACAAACTAGGGGAGGAATGAGCAGATACTTCCGGTCAAGAAAGACAATGACGAATTTACGAATTTTCGGTTTGTCAGTCCAGGCTCTTTTCGAGAACAGTAATTTTCTCCATCGTAAATTAATCACTGTGTCTGCTTACACAGTGTTATTTTTCGTTTTGTTATATTTAAATAGAATACATATTTCTATTACCCTTTAAAATTTGAGTTTGAAATTTATTTATATTTGATTATTTTTCTTTTAATCATTACTAAAATATTGATGATAAATATTATTTTACGGAGTTGCTAGTATGGTAAAAATTTAAAGGTTAATAATAATTAAAAATTAGCTTATAAGAAACACGTTTTCTGTCTATGACTATTATAACGTTGTAGTAATATTTGGTCGGGGAGGCATAGACTTTTTAACAATCGTGTTTCTTAGTTAAGACTTTGTTTGAAAGTATTGTCTTCAAGTTTTAGGTAAGGACATTTTTTCTGTCCAGACAAGACTCATCGATTTTGAAAACAAGTAGATGGGGGGGGGGGCATAGCCTTTTTAACAATCATCGTTCTGAGTAAAATCGTTTTTAAATTACACTAAAAGTACAATTTGTTGTTGCGCGGGACATCAGGTCTCGATAAATGTATACAATTGCTTATTTGGTGCAAACGTATTGATTCTACAGAATTTTTTTAATAAGTAAAAACCACTATATATATACACAATTATCATTCCCTTTTTTTTTGGCAATTATTGAACTGTGAATACATAATACAATATTTTTAACCACTCAGAGAACTGAGAGTATTTGTTTTTTTTTTTGATAAGTTTTATCATAATATTAAAATATTGTACTGTTAAAATATACGTGTAGTATTGTTATTATTATAGCAATAATTTTTAAAAATTAATTTAATAAAAAAAATTAAATAGGTATTTAATGTTAGACATTTTTTTCGTTGGTTTATAAAATCTGTACAAAAATTGGTGTGATAAGGTAATAATAGTTATACTTATCATAAAAACACAATGGTAGTAGGTGTCTCATCGAAAATGTTTGAAAATTAAATAAATTATCTCTAAGTTTGGATTCTAATACGTCATATTTAATTTGTGTTATATTTTCTATACATAGTCTCATAAAGGATGATATGCCATTACAAGAACGCCATATTAAGTTTCTAACTTACAATAATGCAATATAATCCATCGGCCATAGTATAATTATCAAATAACTCAGACTTAAAAGGAGAAAGATTATTGAAATTTTCGTCGTGACTACTACACTCAGTATAAACTATATTAAATAATGTTTAAATATTGTAATTACAATTTGTAAGTTTAAATCAATATTATAATATTGATATCAATATTATATTATCAATATTATAATTGCAATATATGTACATTAAATCATATTAAATATTTAGATTTTTAATCATTTCAACAGCTTCAGAACCTATTCGAAACTTCAAACCCATATTGATCACATTAAAAAGATATATACATTTCTATGTCACATGCACTTTTTTTGTGTTTTTGGTTTAGATCAATTTGCTATTTGTATTTTGTTCATATATAACAGTGGTTTCAGTTTTTTAATTTAAGGCAGCTAATACGGGTTACGTTTTATTAGCATCTAAAATCTCGATTTTTTCTTATTCATACTACACAAATATCTATAGTATTATATTACATATTTATTTTTACCATATTTTATTGTAGATTCAATCATTTTAACATGTATGGTAGAACTGTAAGATTATGGATACAATACTGTTTCTACGGCGTGGGCTTCTTATGTGTGTGTGTGTGCAGTGACATTAATTCAAGATTATGGAAGTTGATAAAATGGTATGTCGTCAAGAAAAAAATTGGAAATGTAAAATAAATTAGAGTGTTTACGAGTGGTTTTAGTTTTTTAATTTACCTTAAGGGATAATAAAGGAAAGCGAACTAATAATAAGAGGGTTACTGTACGCCGTAGTGTAGAAATTAGATTTATGTAGTTTATGTATGAGATAAATAAGAAAGATAGTGAAGCTAGCACAATGCCATTTAATAAAAGGTACACGGTAGAGTAGTAGTAATAAAAGTGTTGTATTATACTAATATTTAACTATTATGCATAGTATATGAAAGAAGAAGCTAAAAAACTATTGCATTGCACAGACAATATATTATAATATTTGGACTAACATTTTTTGAAGTAATTAATAAATAATAATTGAAGTAATGTATTTTTTTTAACTAAGTGACTGTAATTTGAATTATTTTATTTATGTATGATTCTGCGCATTGAGTTGTGTCTTTTAATTTTCTTAAATTATACTACAAAGTTTGTCTAAATGATGATTACTTTAAATACTATGAACTTACATGACTTAAAACCATATTGTACACATATTATTATATGAATATTATTCGATCCATTTAAATTTGCAATGAATTTTTACTATAACAAGTGTACTCATACTACCCAGGTAGGAAATGATACCAATTTACTATAATTCTTAGGAAGTAGAAAATTGAGTAAATGTTGAGCAGAAATGTGTGTAGAATGGCCTATGAGTGATTCGATGTTCAATTATACAAATTAGTACTGTGAGTATGTATTGCATTTTAATCATTGATACATAATCTAAAAGAAGATAAAATTAAA